AGAGAGAGAGAGAGAGAGAGAGAGAGAGAGAGAGAGAGAGAGAGAGAGAGAGAGAGAGAGAGAGAGAGAGAGACGGGGGAAGGGAGGGAGAAGGTGCGATGCGGGAAGGATGCCCATTCTGACGATGGTAGGAGAGTTACATCTGCTTACTATCAATTGGATGCTTCGCTATTCTTGTGAAACTGGTCGGTTCCTGTCTGTGGAGAGCGTTGGTGAGACGTCGGGCTCGATCCCGCCGGCGATACGTGTTCGATCCCAAGCCAATTTTTTTGTCAATAGCAAGGACAGAAGAGCAATTTCCTAAGACGCATACCTCTCCCTCGAGGAGCTCTCCGTTCTTCTTCTTCTTCTTCTTCTTCCTGTTCGTTTTCTTCTTCTGCTTCGGAGTTAAGGTGTTGGAATTTGATGTAAGTTAGGTCAGGGAGAATGTTGTGCGTATGGGTGTGTGGTGGGGTCGCATCTGTTCAGCTGGATTGATAGTATTCCTTTGATCAGATTCTCTCGACCGATCTGCACTCGACGGTGATGTCCCACGCTTGTCTGTAGCTAGGTTGGGATGTTCGGTTGCTTTGCCGTTGAGCAAAGTCGTTGAGCCCCGCCGATGAGACCAGAGCGTGCTCCTGCATTCCTTCTGTGACAGACGGACGTCATCGCCTCTGTGGAAGCCGTAGGGCGCCCGCACGGCAGTATGCATGTTGAGGAGAGATCTCCACCTAAACAGCAGCAGCCTGCGCCCAGGGCCGGCGAGGAAAAGATCTGTGTGAGTGTCCGTTGCCGCCCGCTGAGCACTCAAGAAATCAGTAATCGTGATGTCTCCACGTGGAAAGTCACAGATGGGCGAACACTCGCCTTTACAGGTCACCTACCGGAGCGATCGCCTTATCCTGGCAAATATAACTTTGGTAAGAAGCTAAATTTGACAATGACATTCTTCTGTGATTTCGTTTTTCTTATACGTTATTCTGAATATGACAATGACTCTCTTCCCTCGTGGGAGTGTTGCAGAAAAAAAAGGAGAAGAAAACAGGATAGTGGTAGTGATGGCAGGAGCACTAAGGGAAGGCTTTCAGTTGTTCCATCATCATGTATCGGCGCATACCTGAAGTTTATGTCCGTAGGTTTATACTACTGTGTCTTCTCTCATTGCCACCCTTCTTGTCAGGGTGTGTTGAAGCCGGGAGATGGTCCTGAACGTCTGATGGTAGAGCAGACTCATCTATGTGCGTGTTCGTGTATGCTTGTTTTCTCTTTCTTTTGTGTTTGTCGCGCACGCACAGCAAACGAGCGAGCAAGAGAGAGAGAGAGAGAGAGAGAGAGAGAGAGAGAGAGAGAGAGAGAGAGAGAGAGAG